TGTCGAGTTGAGCTCTCAGAGTGGCTCATTCACACTGGGGGTCTCAGTACATTTTTCCTGTTTAATCTTACAAACTCTTGATTGTCTTTTATGTACCAAGCTGATTCTGACCTCTGGAGTTTCGAAGGTGCCTGAGTCAAGGTCTTGACCCTTTGGGAGCACAGTGAATCATAGGTAATAGTCACTATAATGTAGTTTCTTAGGAGGTTGCTGGAGAGGGATCCAGGGAGGAGGGTCGTGGGAGGTGTGAGGCACTTGGCCCAGACCTGGGGTTAGGAGAGGAGCCCCAGAGGGAAGAACTTTACAGAGTCTTGGTGAGAGAATAAATGTTACCTCCACAGAGGAAGGAAGGCCAAGCATTTTTACAGAGGCAAAAGAGAGTGTTTAGTTTCAAGTTGTAACTCTTCTTCAGGCTGAGTTACGATGTCAGAGGGAAGGCTGAGATGAGGCTGTGGAAGTAAGATGGGGACCAGGTTATGAAGGACTCTGAAGGTCACATGAAGGAATGTCATTTTTAATCTCAAGAAAAACATTTATTGGGTGCCTGGGTGGCTCAGTCGGTTAAGTGTCTGCCTTTGGCTCAGGTCATGATCCCAGGATCCCGGGATCAAGCCCCGCATCGGGTTCCCTGCTCAGCAGGGAGTCTGCGTCTCCCTCTGCCCCTCCCCCTGCTTGTGCGTGGTGTGAGCTCTCTCTCTCTCTGTCTCTCTCAAAAAATTGAAAACCTTAAAAAAGAAAAATATTTATTAAATATTTCTGGAACACCTACTACTATGTGCCAGGTCTGTTCTAGGCAATGAAGAGTCAGGCATGAAGAAAATAGATAATGGTCCGGCTTTCCTGGAATTTACACTGTGCTCTGCAATACATACTGTAAACAAATGAAAATATATGTCAGGTGGCAAGAACTATGAAAAGGAGAGGAAACCAGAGTGACAGTGCAGGGTGGGGGTGCTGTTTTATGCAGGGTGGTCGGGGAAGTTTGCTCTGATTAGGTGACGTTTGAACAAAGAGCCACATGCACATGTGCAGGAAGAAGCTTCCAGGTCAAGGGAACAGTCAAAGCAAAGGCTCCAGAGCAGAAACATGCCTAGTGTGTTCCAGGAATCTGAAGGAGGGCAGGGTAAGTGAAGGGGGGAGAACAGTGGGTCAGGGATGAGGTTCAAGATGAAGTCAAGGAGATAGCTGGAGTGGGGGAGGCAGACTGTGGAGGGCCATGTAGGCCACTGTAAATACTTTGGCTTTTATTTGGAGTGAATTGAGATCCTGTTGGAGATTTTTAAGCAAAGAAGTGACTTGATCCGACAGGTTTTAATATGATCACTCTGGTTGATATATGGAAACAGACCTGGGAGCAGGGCATGAGTAGAAAAGGAGAGAGACAAGTTAGGGGGTTGTAGCCGTGGTCAGGTAAGAGGTGATGGTGGCCTGGTTTGTAACATGGTCAAAGGTTTAAATTTTAGAAAACTAACTCTGATCGTGGGTAGGAAAGAGAGAGTTGGTGGGACCAAGAGTAGAACAGAAGCCAGTTGTTGTCCTGTTGAGGCGAGAAATGACATTTGTTTAACTTGGACTAGACATTTGTTTACTGGTCAGCACATTCTTTACCATGAGTGCAGTCTGTTTGGGGAAGCGGAAGAAAATCAGGAGGCTTGTATTAAATACGGGGAAACTGGGGGTGCCTGGCTGGCTCAGTGAGAAGAGCATACGACTCTTGATCTTGGGGTCATGAGTTCGGGCCCCACGTTCGGTGTAGAGATTACTTAATTAATTAAATAATAGGGGCGGGGCGCCTGGGTGGCTCAGTCGTTAGGCGTCTGGCTTTGGCTCAGGTCGTGATCCCAGGGTCTTGGGATCTCCCAGGATCAAGCCCCGCATCGGGCTCCCTGCTCAGCCGGAAGCCTGCTTCTCCCTCTCCCACAACCCCCCTTGTGTTCCCTCTCTCACTGTGTTTCTGTCAAATAAATAAATAAAATCTTAAAAATAATAATAATAATAGGGGTGCCTGACTGGCTCAGTCAAGAGGAACATGTGACTCTTGATCTCAGGGTTGTGAGTTCAAGCCCCACGTTGGATGTAGAGATTATTTAAATAAATAAATATTTTAAAATAATAATAATAATAATAATAATAATAATAGATAAGAGGGACCAGTTAGGCAAAGGAATCAAAGTTGGCTGACAGCCAAAGGGGCTATATGTTTACAGGACACAGTAGGCAATGGAGAGAAAGTGTTACTTCTTACAACCTGACTTAAAATGTCTGCCTTGATCCAGCCCCTTTTTCCCGGCTGGCCATGCCCATCCCGAGCCCAGCCTCCCTTTTCAAGCTTGGTAATCCCTGGCTTGGATTCCCACTTTCTTCTCCCATTCAGATGGTACTTCCTCTTCAGGCCCAGTACATGGCCTGCCTTAAGCTTCTCTTCTTTCCCCTCATTTTCCCTCCTCTGAAGGCCTGTGGCTCCTCCCTTTACTATGGATCATCTTATATTGTGCTGTAATGAATAAGACATTTTAAAATAAACTGGAACCTACTCAAGGAGTGCAGTGTTTTTCATTTGCATTTTTCTTTCTGCCACAGTGCATCTGGTAAAGTCAGGCCCCTAGTAAATATCTAATGTCATCTTAACCTGGCACAGTCAGATCCCTGATCTCTGTCAGAAAAATCCCCCACGTTCCAACACTTCCTTGTTCCTGCAGGGACACAGTCACAGTGCTGAGCAAGAATATGACACAGAGGAGCCGGTGTTGTGTGTGGATGTGGCCATGTTCCTCACTCAATAGGAGAAGGTGCCATTCCTGTCTTCTCTAAAATTCAAATCTCTGTTAGGAAACCACACAGTGTTTAGCGTGAATCACACACTTGTTGGACACCGGTGTTTCCAAGTTAAAAAACGGGATAGTCTCTGCCCTCATAATGCTTACTATCTAACTAGGAAGACAAGTATTAAATAGATTATTAGGTTTAGTTGAATAATCATAGGTGTACAAAATGGCTTAAAGCACGTAATACAGGGATTGACCTTCCAATGAGGGATCAAAAGACTTCACTGAAGATCTGTTAACCAACACCCAAAATGTGGAATGGAATTAGCAAGGGGAAGACAGGTGGGAAGGTGGGGAGAGAATGACACCCTCCAGGAAATTGAAATAACTCTAGTTGAGCTATAGCTAAAGCCCTCAGGGAGAAGGACACAAAATAGGGCTGAAACTTCCATGTAACCTTCCCTCACTGCTCCAGTGAATTCAGCTCTGCTTTCAGTGTCTTTTCACACTAATCGTCTTTACCATGTTTTACTGTGTACGTTTTTCAGATTGAAATCCAACCAGGAGCAAAGGAAATATTTCAGGTAGGACATGGTGACAGGTGTCTCATAGCTTAAGAAGGCCTAATAAGACAAGACAAAAATCAGTCCATGAGTATTGGAACTGATGGAGAGGCATGGGGGATCTTAGCCAGCCTAAGTTCAGTGGGGTGGTAAGGAAGAAATGATTGGAGGGGGTAAGAATCAGGAAAAGACCTTGACATAGCAATTCCAATTCTAACTAGCTATATTTACACAAAGGTGTTATTGCAGTAATGTTTGTAGCAGCAAAATACTGAAAATCCAATTGTCTACTAACAGGGACTGGTCCATTTAATCATTCACCAAGCATTTTTTTAAAGATTTTATTTATCTGAGAGAGAGAGCGTTAGAACATGAGTGGGTTGGAGGGGCAGAGGGAGAGGGAGAAGCAGGTTCCCCGCTGAGCAGGGAACCTGACGTGGGGCTCAATCCCAGGACCCCAGGATCATGATATGAGCTGAAGGCAGATGCTTAACCGACTGAGCCACCCAGGCTCAGCCTAGCCCCCTCACCAAGCATTTTTTAAGCATCCACTCTGTGCTGGGCATATAACTGATCAAGATGGATAATGTCCCTTTTCTCGTGGAGCTCATGGTGGCAGGGGTGGAGGGGTAGGGGACAGAGAAGTGAACAAGCTAATCTCAGATTATTTTTAGAAGTACAGGTGTCCTTTTTACCTGAATCTGTTTGGTTCCTGAGTTCAAGTGGCAGGGATTTGGGCACTGAGTGATAACCTGTGCTTGGAGGAATATTAACATGGTTATGTGATGGAGAGTAAATTGGAGGGAGGTGCTAAGACAACTTTCCTGAGGGGGTGTGCTCGAGATGAGACCGGAATAACTAGAAACTAGTTTCCAACCATGTGGGGATCCTAAGGGAAGAGGGAGTAACAAGTATAAAGGCCCCAGGGTAGGAACAAGCTAGGTATATTCAGGGATCATCAAGGGCAGCCTGGCTAGAGTCCAGTAAGTGGTGGGGATATCTGAATCTTATCCTTAGTGCAATGGATATTGTAAACCAGCAATGCTGTTGGTTTTAGGCAATGAATATGTTATGATACAACTGTTTATGGCGTACTATGAAGTGATTCAAAGGATAAAGTAAAATTATTTGTACCCCTGTGGGAAGATCTCCAAGACATAGTTAAAGGCAAAAAGCAAGTTGTAGAGCAGTATGTAAGGTATTTCACAAAACAAGACTCTGTGTATGTGTGAATGAAGCATGGAGTAGGGACTCTTGCATGTATGTACCAAACTGTTAACAGTATTTATTTCTAGGGAGCACAGTGGGATTGGTGAGGGGGTGAAGGAGGGCTGTTGCTTTTACTGCCCAGTATATTTGGATTTTGTAACAAAGGAATTGCATGGGCAGGGAGGAATTGGTGATTGTGTGACAAGGCGTGGCTTTCCAGGAAAACACAATAGCTAAGTAGGGATACGGGACTGCAGAACATATTGCCCCTTGTGACTTTCCTGCCTGCCATACTGGATTCTTTACAAAATTATGTAAGTAACTAGTGTATTTAACCCAACATTCCCCTCAGGATATCAAATGTGTGATCACCGTTTCTGATGAGCCTACAGTATGTTCCCAGTATTGCCATGGGAACATTTGTGGTGTTGATCCCTAGTTGAACAGGAATGTGATCCTACAGGAATCAGTGACATTCAAAGATGTGGCTGTGGACTTCACCCAGGAAGAATGGCACCATGTGGACCCAGCTCAGAGGCGCTTGTACAGGGATGTGATGCTGGAGAACTATAGCCACCTGGTTTCTCTTGGTAAGGACCAAGTCAGTATCTTGCCTACTGGCAGGTTTTTCCTTTCTCAGGTGCTAAGGTTGTGGGGCTTGTAGATCAGGTGGCCGTGAGCAGGGTATGCACGGTTAGAGCTTGTTCTTCTCTTCGCGACTCAGCTTTACAGTTTTCTGAGCCTGCTCTTTAAGTAAAGTTCTTTCTTTTGCAGAACTGGAAATAGGTTATTTGACTGCATGACTCCTCAAGTTGCACTTTTTTTTTCCTTCAGAGTTCCTGAAGATCCAGGACTAGTACTGACTTGTAGGAGGGGTCTTTGTCCACTTGCCCAAACAACCAAATCTTGTGTATTTACCCATGAGCAGGATATCAAGTTTCCAAGCCAGAGGTGATCTTCAAATTGGAACAAGGAGAAGAGCCGTGGATATCAGAGGGAGAAATCCAAAGACCTTTCTGTCCAGGTAAATGAGGAGGAGTCAGGCATGCAGGAATCAATGCAGACAGTGGCACGCCTGAGGGAGGAGGGGAGCACCTTCATATTGGTGCCTGGGGAGCTCCTAGACCTGCAGAGGAAGCTAAGCCATCTCCTGGGTGATACCTCTGTCTCCCTTCTGCAGTAGGGTGTTCCTGCTGCTGACAGGTCTTAGAGGAAAATGTACCCCTTTGTCCTACACAGAATACCATTTCTCCCTATACTGTGATCCTATCGCTGGATTTTCTCCTCTGGTGTCCTCAGTCTCCCATCATGATTAGCAATCCCTTTTCTTACTCATTCAGACATTAATTGAACTCCCATGTCTTCTTGTTTTGTCTTGCTGCTTTTACGGTCGGTGGCCCCAGACTTGTAGAAGTACCCACAGCTTTGATTCTCCATCTTTTCATAACTTGATTGCAGACTTCTTTCCCTCACCACATTCCTACAACACCTGTCTGGGGAGGAGTACCATCTTCCTTCCATCCTATTTTCATGCCAGTTTGTTTCATTGCCTCTCCATGGCTCCTGGAGTATCCTTCTCTCCTGGTCTTCTGGCTTACTAAGTACTTCTTGGCTTTAGGTCTTTGACTTTGCTTGGTTTCCCCCTTAAGTGAATCTGCCTAAGGAGTCTGCTCTTCAGCTTCCTCCCCTTTCTTTCTGTATTACCACCTTCCAGGGGTGGTAGTTACAGCTCTTTATGCTGTGCTTTGGACTCAGAAATCATCCTTACTTGTACCATGGTCACTTTTTTCCCATCTCACAGGACCCCTCCTTCTGGAAGTCCCATGCAGTTAAATACCTAAAATCTAAATTAATCATCTTTCATCCCCAGCCAGCACATTTTGCTACCTTGCCCATTACCCGTTTCTCCCCTTGTGCATTAGAAACCACTGGATCAGGGGCACCTGGGTGGCTCAGTCGTTGGGCATCTGCCTTCGGCTCAGGTCATGATCCCGGGGTCCTGGGATCAAGCCCCACGTCAGGCTCCCCGCTCTGTGGGAAGCCTGCTTCTCCCTCTCCTACTCCCCTTGCTTGTGTTCCCTCTCTTGCTGTCTCTCTCTCTGTCAAATAAATAAATAAAATCTTAAAAAAAAAAAAAGAAAAGAAAGAAAGAAAGAAACCAGTGGATCTCTAATCCCTCAGTCCAAACACCCCAGTCAGTTTAGACCTTTTCATGCAATTCAGGTTATCTTCCTCCCAAATTAGGCCCCGCGAGGAGATTACTATAATTCCCAGTTGAAATTGCTCAGTCTTTTATAACCAATATTGGATTTTTAAGATCATAGCTTTTTTGAGATATAATTTACATACCATAAATTCGCCTTTTTTAAAGTGTACAGTTTAGTGGTTTTTCAGATATTTACTGAGTTATGCAGCCATCACCAGTATCTAACTACAGAACATTTCAACACCCAGAAAGAAACCCCATACCCATTAGCAGTCACTCTCCATTACCTGCTACCCCTGCACCCATTTATCTTTTTATCTCAGTGGATTACCATTTCTGGTTATTTTATGTAAATGGAGTCATATAATATGTAGCCTTTTGTGACTGGCTTCTTTCACTTAGCATATTTTCAGGGTTCATTCATGTTGTAGCATGTATTAGTACCTCCTTGCTTTTTATTGCTGAGTAATATGCCATTGTATGGACATACCACATTTTGTTTATCTGCTCATCACTTGGTGGACCATATTGGATTTTAATGCTTTATCTTCATAAACCACCTACCTCTGACAAAACCTTGCTATTACTCCCTGTACCTCATTATAGGAAACAGATCCCCCTTGATTTAAAGGTCCCCTATTGTATCTTCCAGTATTCTCTTTCTGTTCCCACTAAAACAAGTTCCACTTGGGTTGAACTTCTTCTTAATGTTTTCTGTAAGTAGTGTACAGTTTCCCTAATTAGATAATACTTTCTACCTATCCAGAGCTGTCTGTTCCTTAAGTTTAGGGTGTCTATTCAATCCATGAACATAATATGTATTTATATATTTATTTCTTCCTTCCCTGATCACAAGTACCATTTATATCATCTTTTACTGTACAAGCTCAGATTTAAAAATATACCATCTGATGGTTTTCCTTTTTTATCAAAAGATTGGCTCTTATTTCTAAGACTTCAAGCTCTTGGAGAAAGAGTCTATTATATATCTATGTATTCTCTCTGTGTTATAGAGCACATAGAAAGCAGTCAGGAATTACTTGATTGTTTTTTAATGTGATTGGGTAGAGAATTTTCTCATTCATTCATATCAACAAACATTTCTTGAATATCCCTCTGAGAAATATTCTAGAAGAAATACAAAGCATTTTCTGTCATTGGGAAATTGGAATTGAGTCTTGTTCCAGGGTAAGGAATTTTGAGGCTTAGGGCCCCTTGGTTGTTGGTTTTTTTCCCTCCTGACATTTTATTATGAATATTTTCAAATGTATGGGAAGTTGAAAAAATTATACAGTGAACACCATATTCCTACCACCAAGATTCTATAGTTGTTACATTTTATTATATGCTTTATCACATATTCTTCATCTATCCCATCATCTTTTTTTTTTTTAATCTGTACTTTTTGGTGCATTTCCAACTAAGTTGCCAACACATACATTTCACCCCTACACACTTCAGCATACATATCGTTAACCAAAGTTCAGTATTTATGATTTTTTCAAGAAAAATGTACATACAGTAAGCTATACAACTCTTCTATGTACCATCCAGTTGCTTTTGACAAGTGCATTCACCCATCTAATCCAAATTCATTTCAATATGGAACATTTCCATCACCCCAGAGCCCCCCTTCCCTTTAGTTTTTAAAAATTACCATTTTTAGAACCTAGAGACTAATTGTCTGCTGTTAGTATTCTGAAATGAAACAGGGATTTAGAGATCAATTTATTAGGCTGAGTAAAATCCTTTTTGGTCGAGGTGATGAGTGTAGAACCAGAACTCAGACAGGCTAAAACCAGAGCCCTAATTATAAAGGCGATAATGATTTGCTTCCTGAAATATTACTTTATCTCACTTTGTAAAGTATAGCCATTGGTCTCCAAGTATGTCAAAGAATGATTTCAGTCACGTCAGTGGCTGCGGATTTTCTCTGTAGGATTTGAAGATTTGGAGCCTCGGAGGTGACTTAAAGAAATTGTGAAATGGCTGAATTAGGAAGACAGATTTTGGGATGATTTATAAAATGGACAGGAAGCATGGAGAGCAGTTATTAGGCTCTTACAAGACAGACCATGATTGTATTCTATTTGTGTCTGTGCCTAACATTCTCATGCTCACTTATTCCCTTATATCCTAAGCAGCCCTCCTGGAGGGGCTTCCTCATTCTAGACTTGCCATACACTCTGGCTCTGCAGTCTGCACTGTCACTTCTCTTCACTTTTCCTTTCCTTCATTTGGGTCTTCTCTCCAAACTACAGGACTAATTTCAAAACAGAATCACATATAGTTTATATTTCTTTCATTTCCCCATTCCTACTCTAGCAGTTTGTTTCAAGAGGAGGGAACAGGGGACTTTTGCCCTTTGGATTTTTTTCAGACTGGAAGACCAGGCCTGAAGCCAAATCATCACATCTGCAACAGAGCATATCTGCAGGATCCCGTAGCACAGATGGCCTTTCGCATGCCACATTTGAAAGCACTTGGGATGTTAGTAGCCAGTTAGAGAGACACCAGGAAACCTGGAAAAGATACCTGGGCCCAGATGCATCCAACCAGAAGAAAATAATCACACCAGAGGAAAATTTTCAGCAAAATAAATTTGGTGAAAATTCTAGATTGAACACAGTCCTGGTTACACAACTGAACATTTCTTCAGGGCCTACTGAATGTGATACACTTGGAAGCAATTTGGGACATAATTCAGATATAATTAATCAGAATAATATCCTTGCAAAAAAGAAACCTTATAAATGTGACAAATGTAGAAAAGCCTTTATTCATAGATCATCACTCACTAAACACGAGAAAACTCATAAAGGCGAAGGAGCTTTCCCCAATGGTACAGATCAGGGAATTTATCCTGGAAAGAAACACCATGAATGTACTGACTGTGGAAAAACCTTCCTCTGGAAGACACAACTTACTGAGCATCAGAGAATTCACACTGGGGAGAAGCCCTTTGAATGTAATGTGTGTGGGAAGGCCTTCAGGCATAGCTCTTCCCTTGGTCAGCATGAGAATGCTCACACGGGAGAGAAACCTTACCAGTGCAGTCTCTGTGGGAAAGCCTTCCAGCGCAGCTCCTCCCTTGTTCAGCACCAGAGAATTCACACTGGAGAGAAACCCTATCGATGCAATTTATGTGGGAGATCTTTTAGGCATGGCACATCCCTCACTCAGCATGAGGTCACACATAGTGGAGAGAAACCCTTCCAGTGTAAGGAATGTGGGAAAGCCTTCAGTCGATGTTCTTCCCTTGTCCAGCATGAAAGGACTCATACAGGAGAGAAACCTTTTGAATGTAGCATATGTGGGAGGGCTTTTGGTCAGAGTCCATCCCTTTATAAACATATGAGGATTCATAAGAGAGGCAAACCTTACCAAAGCAATAACTACAGCATAGATTTCAAGCACAGCCCATCTCTTACTCAAGATGAAAGCACTGTCACTGAAGTGAAATCCTATCATTGTCATGACTGTGGGGAAGACTTCAGTCACATTACTGACTTTACTGATCATCAGAGGATCCATACTGGACAGAACCCCTATGAATGTGAGCAGAACTTTAGTCAACAACCTATTTCTCATCCTGGAGAGAAACCCTATCAGTGTAATGTATGTGGAAAAGCTTTCAAAAGGAGTACAAGCTTCATAGAACATCACAGAATTCATACTGGAGAAAAACCCTATGAATGTAATGAATGTGGAGAAGCCTTCAGTCGACGCTCATCACTTACTCAGCATGAGAGAACCCACACTGGAGAGAAACCCTATGAATGTATTGACTGTGGGAAAGCCTTCAGTCAAAGTTCATCACTCATTCAGCATGAGAGAACTCATACTGGAGAAAAACCCTATGAATGTAATGAATGTGGGCGAGCCTTTCGAAAGAAAACAAATCTGCATGATCATCAGAGAATTCATACTGGAGAAAAACCCTATGCTTGTAAGGAATGTGGGAAAAACTTCAGTAGAAGTTCAGCACTAACTAAACACCAGAGAATTCATGCACGAAATAAACTGTAGAAGCCCTGAAATTAAGGAATGTGCAGAAAACTTTAGCTAAACTATTGTTCTTATTCAGTATCACGTGATTCTTACTAGAGAGGAAGCTTGAGAATGTAATGGGTGTGTGTGTGTGTGTGTGTGGTGTGTGAAGAAAGTTCTATGCTAGTAGACAATGTTTTTTTTAATAAATAGAAGGCACATTCTCGAATCTGATTACAGACTTTTATAAAAACAACTATAAACATCATATATAACCAATTGGAAATGATATGCTTATGTATTGGACTTTTTAAAGCTTTTGAATATATGTACGCAGGAGATCAACTTTGAACAGTTTGACTTGTAACTCTGTGTTTACAGCCTTTTTTAATAAAACTCCTGCAGTAATGACCAAAACTTATTTTAAAATTGCTTGACGACCGCATTCAACTGCAGCTCTTACATTAAATTCACCATGGAAACCAATTCCACCTCCCAGAATCAACCATTCAAAGAATGAGATCAGCTGGCCCAACCACTTCATTGTACAGATGAAGAAACCAAAAGCCAAAGATGTGAAGTGGTTTGCACAGTGTTATACAGCTTATGATGGCAAAGCTGGGTGGAGAAAGCAGGTCTCCTGGATCTTTGGCCCTGTGGTCTAGCCACTGAAAAGGTATTTTGGAATTCAGAGGGCTTTAAAGTAAATTTTAAAATAAATCAGATGCACAAACTAATGAGCACTTGAGTTGGATACTCTAGGAATTCATAAAAGCATAAGAGGCAGCAAAATACAGAGGCAGATTTGTCACAGACTTATTCAGAAAAACTTGTTGGAAGCTTACATACCAAAATGTTAACAAAAACTGTGAATAGTTCAACTGCTGGTGACTTTTTTCCTTTTCCCAAGTGTAATATTTATACATTCAACTAACATATGTCAGTTTCATAGACCTGCTCAGTTTTCTTACTGTGCTTTTTATGACACTCCCATGAGAAAGCACTGCCCCAAGCTTCCTATATTGGATCAATGGGAAAACAGCACAAAACTAAAGAGGAAACATTTTCCCCAAGTTAATTTTACTGTGGAGAAGTATAAATGTAATTACCCATTGTCATAAAATCTATCTTTAAATCGGTTTAGAGAACCCACGTAATGACCCATTTTGTGTGCCAAGGAAATACTTCATCATAAAAAATTTAACTTTTTTAGTTATATGCTGCTCTTCCATCAGTAAAGCATGAGATAAGCATCAGTAGCCCACTCCAGTCCCTAATGTTCTCTCATGCCTACCATAGGCTATCCTAAAAGAATCCCACAGGTGCCAACAGTGGAGATAAATTTGGAAGCAATAGGGACTTTACTCCTTTCACACAAGAGCCTCTCCTCTCTGAAGATAAGTAAATTTTCCCACCCTGATGAATCATGGAGAGGAATGATATGGGTGATGTTGATGGTAAACCTTTCCTACTGTCCTCTTTACATTCCAAGTAGCAGGATCCATTATCCTTCTCTCATCCTAGACAACAGGAAGTAACTCTCAAATATTCTTCATAATTCTTTTTTTTTTTTAAAGAATTTATTTGAGAGAGAGCGCGAGAGGGAAGAGGGTCAGAGGGAGAAGCAGAGTCCCTGCTGAGCAGGGAGCCCGATGTGGGACTCGATCCCGGGACTCCAGGATCATGACCTGAGCCGAAGGCAGTCGCTTAACCAACTGAGCCACCCACGCGCCCTTCTTCATAATTCTTTGCAGGAAAAATGTGCATGGGGGCTGAAATGTGTGATGTCTAGCACAATGAGTCCATTACAAGTAGAACAAGATGGGAATCTGCCCTTCCAAGACTTTTTTTTTTTTTTAAAGATTTATCTATTTATTTGAGAGAGCGAGAGAGAGAGTACACGAGAGGGGGGAGGGTCAGAGGGAGAAGCAGGCTCCTCGCCGAGCAGGGAGCCCAATGCGGGACTCGATCCCAGGACTCCGGGATCATGACCCTAGCCGAAGGCAGTCGCTTAACCAACTGAGCCACCCAGGCACCCCTGCCCTTCCAAGACTTTAACTGTTCAAAAATATCATGTTTGTGATGTTCCATGCTTAACACACACACAGTGCCAAGACCATTTGTTGTCTGATACATAGTTTGACAATGGGTAATTCTATACAGACCCCCCCCCCCACTGAGTGGCTACCATGCTTATCAGGAACTTATTTGCTGCTGATTATTTGGGGATCCCCATAGTGGACTATTTGCAAGAATGACATAAATTGGAACCAGTTGAGTGCTATCCTACTTCAAAAGAAGTTTGTAAAGACTTAGTTCCAGAAGACTCAAAGAAAACCACTGGTTTGTGTGTGGAACTTGGCCTAGATCCAACCAATCTCTGAATCTCAGCACATCTGCATTGACAAAGAAGGAGCCCAGAATGTCCGTGGTACGTGTGGTTGATTGAGCAGAGGATTCTCTAGTTCCAGCAACCAGGCACCATGCACTTAATGAACACCCAGCTTCCTAGGCCACATGAAATACATCCTTGTAACATCATTGTATTATTTCAATAAATAGCCTTCTTAGTTGAATGGGAGTCAGTTTGTCTTTTTCAGTTTTCAGAACTTGGCTAAGATTAAAGTATGGTGCATCCAGGAGGAGGGATTAACTGCTAAACTCATCACGGTCAGGTGAGTTAATAATAGCTACTGTTTATTCAATGCTTACCAATAGAAAGAAATCATGTGAAATATTTCATAGCCATCATTTCATTTAATCCTTACACCTCCTTGTTCTAGGTCTTATGTTAGCTCTTGTCTTTGCCCAGCTTTTTTCTCCCTCTTTTTCTTGTAACATCTCTGCTGTACTGACCACAGGAACATAAGTCAATATCCCTGGGGCTTAGTGATAGTTCTAGGGGCAAGCATGTGACCTAGTTGAGCCAGAGTTCTTTGCTAGAAAATGTTCAAAATAGATTTGGCAGGGACCCTTTAATTTTGTGTGGCTAGGCTGGAAAGGTGAAGACCTAGAACTGCCTGGAGCCCAGTTCTTTACCAGAGAGGGGATGCAACTGACACGGTGGTGTTCTCATTGCTAATCCCGAGGTCCTTTGGACCTGGCTCGATTCTGAAACCCTTCCTGGGATTCAGCGGGCTCCCCACTGTGGTCCAATTTACCCCTTTTTGATTAAGCTAATTTGTCAGATTTCTGTTGTTTGCATTAAAGAAACTTAATACAAGTATCCTTGTTTTCTAATGGGGGTGGGGTAGCCAGAGAGATAAAGTCATTCCCTTGAGGTAGTATTTCCCATGGCAGATTCAGGCTTTGAACCCAGGACTGTCTGGCTACAAAGGCATAGCTTTTTACCTTTAACTGTGTTGTCTCCAGAGCCGTGCTTATGTTCAAGGAGCTGCATATAATGCAGTATTGTTTTGGGAGGAGTGAATGAAGGGACATGGTGATAGGTTGGAGACCAAGCAAAGACAAAATGGTAAAGGACTTCGTAATACTCTTCCTGACTACTTTAGTAAATTAAATTACCTAAATTCACCCATAACCCTCATACCTTAATATATCAAGTTATTATTGACATTTACCCATATTATGGGTAAAATCTTATACTTAAAAAAAGGCAAACACCATTTTTCATAAATATTTTCCATGTTACTCTACAGTCTCAAGATCTCCTTAAGTCCCTTACTGTTGGGACACATTTGGATTGGTTTTGGTATTGGTTTTTATAATAATGACATTGAATACTTTTATCTTTTGAAGCACCTCTCCTTTTTTTTTTCTATAGAATTTTTTCTTAAAATATTCCAAATGAGGTAAAATATCTAAAGTGGGTTTTCTCGGTCAGCATGTATAGGTTGATATAATCAGACGGTGTGAGATTCCTACAGGAATAAACTAGATACAATAGCGCAGGAGTAATAGTCTCAACATTACAAATGGGAGCTAGGAGAAAACCAGGCTCCCACCCCTGGTGCCTGGGTATGTCTGGGGAAGGGTCCCGGGGCAGGCATCATGTCTGCCACAGCATCTCGCACACTGCTGAGCCGGCCTGGGAAGTCAGGAACACACACTATGCCCGACAATGGTATGCCTAGTTCTTTATAGCTGCTGAACCAGTTAGTTCTTACTCATCTGTTAAAATGCAGTTGTCACTTCTGGGAGTGTTCTGCTGCCCTACCTCAACTAAACTGATCACCCTCTTTTAATTTTTCATAGATTACTGTTAATGTGCTTTATGTTACTACAGTTTGTATTTGTGATCATTTGGTTTTCTCCCCACCCCCACCTCACACTAGATTATGAGTTCCAGAAAGGAGGGTCTGTGTCTCTTTTGGTAACTTTTTTGTTCCCCTGCTTATCACAATGCCAGTCACATGGTAGGTCCTTAATCTTGCTAAGTGAACAGTGGAGTGGAGATCTGTTGTTGGACAAAGAAGACTGGCTTATAAATGAAAAGGTGCTCGATCTTAAAACCAGAATTTTGCAAAGGAAGGCAGTAAGATACTATTTCATATCCATTAGGCTGGCCAAAATTTAGAAGTCTGGCAGGGGGGAAATGAGAACTTGTGTACACTGCCGGCAAGAGGATAAACTGGTATAATCATTTTGAGGAGTAATTTGGCAATATCCAGTAAGAGTGAAGCTAAGCTTCCCTCATGGCCCAGCAATTCCACTTCTAGATATATACCCTGGACTAGAAATTCTCCTGGGTGAGCACAAAGACATGCGCAAGGATGCTTATTGCTGCAGTGTCCGAAATAGTAACAGTAGAGACACTGCACAGATGTCTGTCAGTAAGTGAATGGGGTTAATAAATTGTGGCATATTCTTATAATTTAATACAGTACAGGATTTAAATGAAGGAACCAGAGGATCTCACCAAAAAAAAAACAAAAAAAATTCTAGTCTGCCTATACCACTCCTGTCCCCATGAAGCTAGATGTGGCTGCAGAAAAACTGAGCCACAGTGACTGGTCCCACTTTAAATTCCTGACTGCTAACTTCAAGCATTTGTTTCCCTAAAGTCCAGTCATTGTCCCAGTCTCCTAAGGTCCCAGCCTCCTGAACTACAGTTTTATAGCTTCTCTCTTCTCAACTCCAGCATTTCACCCAGTCCTCACTCAGCTGGTGACCTGGTTTCCTAGTTAACTGAGAAAAATAAAAGCAATCAGAAGGTAACTCTCTGCGTTCTTCCTTTCCTTTCTGTTACTATGGGTGATACTTGTTTCTCTCATCTAAGGCCAACTTCTCTTGATCCCATCCTTAAACTAGGATATCATTTCTACAAGTGTCCTCTGCCTCTTTTCTTGTCTACTGAATCATTCCCATTGCATAATAGTGTGCAGTTTTTCTCATCTTAAATATATATATTTGTGAATATATGTACTGCAACACCCTCTACTTGCCACTCCATTTTTTGCTTCACTTAAGAGGAATATCCCAGGGGCGCCTGGGTGGCTCAGTCGTTGAGCGTCTGCCTTCGGCTCAGGTCATGATCCCAGGGTCCTGGGATCAAGCCCCGCATCGTATTCCCTGCTCGGTGGGAAGCCTGCTTCTCCCTCTCCCACTCCCCCTGCTTGTGTTCCCTCTCTCGCTATCTCTCTCTCTCTCTAATAGATGAATAAAATCTTAAAAAAACAGGAATATTCCAGTGTTCGTTGTCTCCACTTCCTCTCCTTCCATCTCTTTCACCCCTCCTAATCAGGTCTTTGTTTCTGTTCTTGCTGAAGGGCACCAAGGGACTGCATGTGGCTAAACGTACTTTTTTTCTGTCCTTTTACTTGACCTTTCAGCATTATTTGGTACCGTTCATCACTTCCTCACCCTTGACACATTGTTTTTGGCTTCTGTTATCACACTTTTCCTTGTACTCTATTGACAGCTACTTCTCCCAGTTTTTTTTTTTTTTTCTTTTCATTTATTTCTTTACTCTAGACATGAGAATTCTTCTAGGGCTCAATCTTTAGGCTTTTCTTCTTCTATAGTCAACCCTCATTGTGGCTGTCACCCTGTCTCATGGCTTTAAATATCTACTTGCTGGCAACTTCAAAGTTTGTATCTCTAGCCCAGGATTCCAGACTCATGGTAATTGACTGCATATGTGACATCTCTTCTTGCATGTCTAACATATCTTGAATTTAATGTGTCCAAAGATGAACTAATTCATGATCTCTCCCTCCCAGCCCTATCATAATCATGTTCTTCCCTCAGTCTTTCCTTCTGGGAAAAGAACCCCATTTTTCCAGTTGCTCAGGCCACAAACTCGGGAACTGTTCTTGATTTTTTTCTTTTGAACCTCACATCCAAGCTTCAGTAAGTCCTGTCTGCTAACTATCAGGATGGATGTGGATGACTTTTCTTGTTCCCTCTGCCACCCTGGCCCAAGTCCCTATTGTCAGTCATCTCTGGCTCAGATATTTGCAACAGCCTCCTAATTGGTTTCTCCGCTTCCATCCTTGCCTCCCTGCGGTTGCAGTTCAGCAGCTAGAGTGATGCTATAATAATCTGAGATCGGGTCATTCATCTGCTCAAAGTCCTCAAATAGCTTCCCATT